ATTTTTAGTTTTTCACACCAGAGAAGCTATTTGGTATTTACACGTTTGTCCTATTTATTTCACTTAAGAGTATGGCCTCAATATGCATCCATTTTCCTATGAATGACTCTAGTTTCTTACCCTTTATGGCTGAGTAGTATTGTTGGTGGGAGTACAGACTGGTGCAACCACCATGGAAATCAACATGGAGATTCCTCAAAGAACCAGGATTAGAGGTTCTGTTTGACCCACCCATCTCTTTGCTGGGTATCTTAACAAAAGAATCTTACCACAGCAATATATATGCACCCATGTTTATAGTGGCACAGTTTATAATAGCTAAAACTTGGAAACAGCCCATCTGCCCATCAATTGGAGACTGGATAAAGAAGATGTGGTTTTTCTATAAAATGGAATACTACTCACAATTGAATTTTTAAAGTTTGTCATATACTCTAAATAATAATTATTAAATTATGTCTTGCTAATATTTTCTTCTATTATTTGGCTTATCTTTTAAATTTTTTAATAGGGTCTTTCAAAATACTGAAGTTCTTAATTATAATTAACTGCACTTTTAATCTTTTCTTTTAAACAGAATGCTGTTGATTGAATTCACAGTCATATTATTTTCTCCTATATTTACTTCCAGAAGTTTTATGTTTTAACATTCAAATCTATAATTTATTTCAGTCATCTTCTATATATATATGCAAAGTATGGATCAAAGTTCAATTTCCTTTTGCAAATAGATATCCCCAGCACCATCTGTTGACAAGACTCTTCTTCCTCAGTTAAATTGCCTTTGCAAAATTTTGTAGAAAACAATTAGCAGTATCTAGTTGGTCTGTTTCTGAACTCTCTTTTCAGTTCTTCCACTCACATGTGTCCTTTTGTTAAGACCACTAAGACTTCACTTCTAGAGCTTCACAGTAAACTTTCTCTCTCTCAACATGATTTGGGCCATTCTCTGAATTTCCTTTACATTTTGGATATATTAATTCTGACTGAGAAACTATGTATGATTTTTATTCAAATTATATTAAGGCCATAAATTAATTTTTGGAGAATTGATTTTATCACCTTAAGTGCCTTCTAATTCATGACTAGAGCACAGTTTGCATTTTTTTAGGTTTTGTTTAATCAATACTAGTTTTGTAGTTTTGACAGAATTCACACAAATAATTTGTTAGGTTTATATTTTATAATTATTTCAAAACTGGTGTGATTTAAATAGTACTCACTGTAAATTTTCAATTGTTCATTGCTAAATAATATGTGATTGATCCTTAAACATTGTTTTACTAATATGGCATTTCTTTTTATATTGGATTTTTTAGTCAGAGGACACCTTATCTGTAAATGGGAAACAATTTTTTTGTTTGTAACCTATGTACCTCATTTTGTTTTTCACCACTGAACACCCTAAAGTGACTGAAAGAAAAAGTAATAGGGAAAAATCCTTATTTAGTACCTGATTTTAGAAATAAAACATTCAATTTTTTACTAATAAATAGCATTTTACTTGTAGATATTTTATCTGGTTGAGAAAGTTTTCTTCTATTAGATGAATAAATATTGAATTATGTCAATTTTTGTATCTAGGGAGATTATTATAAGCTTTTTTCCTTAATCTACTAAAATGGTTTATTACATTCATTAATTTTTGAATATTGAAATTGTCTTCTTATTTCCAGACTAAGTCCCATATGACCATGATATGCCATTTGTACATATTGTTGGATTCACTTGCTAACTTTCTGAGATATTTGTGTTTCTGTTCATGAGGGATATTTGTCTATAATTTTATTCTCTTGTCATTTCTTTGTCTGATTTGGGTATCTGAGTACTGCTGGACTGGTAAGTTGGAAAGTATCACCCACTCTAAGAAAGAAAGTCTGCAGAATTTGTATGTCTTTATTAAAAGCTTTGAAGAACTCATCAGTAAGAATTTTTGAGGCCAGAACATTTTTGTTTGGAGCATTTTAACTATGAATTTAAATAATTTAATAGATATAGTACTACTCCAATTATCTATTTCTTCTCAAGTGAGCAGGAAGTTTATTCTATTTTTGCATTATCTGTGAGTTTTTCTCAAAGCCTCGTGGTTGAACTCAGGTGCTTCTTTCTCCCCTGTGGTAACACAAGCCAAGGATTTAACATCTGTGCCTTAAGAAATTAGGGCTTACAACATCCACCATGGAGTCCCTGGGTGGGGTTTTCCTAACTCAGGGAAGCTCTCCTGTAGGGCTAGAGAAGCTGAGAAAGGCAGGAATTTTTTTTTTCTCCGGCCCCAAAGAACTTGGCACTTTGGACCACCTCTACATATGGGACCCTTCTCCTCACAGGATAGTGATCTGGTCATCTGTATCCATCAGATGAATTTTCCTCATTCGTTAGCTTTGTTCTGAAAACAGCTGAGGCAGGTTCTAGAAAACCATGTCTCTGTTACCATCCTATCCTCACTAAAACTATAAAGTAATCTTTGAGGTCTGCAATTTTGCCTTCTTTGTGAAATATTATATGAGTTTGTTTTGTGGATGTAGACAGAAAAGAAGAAACTACTGGTTCAGAAACAAAAGTCTTTATAAGTAATGGAATATAAATAGCCAGAGTTCATGTTCATTTGCAGTGACCTCTGAGGGTGCCCTAAATTCCACAAGTGTGACGCCAGGGATCCACCCACCATGCATGCCTCCACACATAGTGAGTTACATTACTCCAGAGAAATTTGAGCTTATGGAGTTCACTGCCTTTATGGTGATAAGAATTAAGCATGTTCATTTCCCAGAGGAATATTGCACCGTATCCTTCATAGGTGCTATCTGCCAACATATCCCAAAGATGGCCTGCACAGAGAACAGTCAGAGTCTTACATTCTTGGCACAGCCTCAGGCCATGGCAGAAGAGACAAACTTTCTATCCTTACAGCATATTCTACGAGTTCAAATATCTTTTATAAATAGGCATATATTCATACAAGATATACACAAGTTATGTGTGTAAGGCTAATTCTCTTTAGAAGACAGAGCTTCCGAAGCACAATTAGGGTGGTATTGTATTTACATCCCTTTGCCTTTAGTGTTTGGCTCCAAAATAAGCACCCAGTGATATTTGCTGAACTATTCTGAACTAAATAACCCTAAGGTGGGTGGATTCTGGAATCATGATGTGACCATAGTTTCTGAACCAGTGTCCTTACCATTGAACTAGGCTCTGGCATTCGCTGTGCCTAAGTACAAATGAGGTGATGATCTTTGTCGTTCACCTTTCATTGTTTGTACTGCTCATGTGGTTCATAGATTACTTTGAGCAATGAATGTAGAGAGCATTTTAAGATAAATCTATCCGTGAATATACACAGAATTTTTCAATTGCAAAGAGTTTCATAGAATCCTTGATTTTCATTTCTCTCCCAGTATATTTACAGACTTTTGATTTTCAGTTGTTCGGTGGGATTACAACAGTATACAATAAGACCAAGCAATCCAGGAAGGAAGGGAAGACACAATAGGTAAACACAGATGAAGGGGCAGAAGCTGGAAGAATTTGACTTGACTCACTGGGTCCTTATTCAGCCTTTGATGGGAATCATTAGTTGGAGGATGGCAAAGGAAATCTTGCCTTCAGTGTCTCCCTGAGTCTTTGTTGGAGTCACCGATGCTTCCAAATGTTATCGTGAGAAGCCTGGTGGTTCTCCAATGGCATACATAGTGCAGATGGGGGCAGAGAATTAATAGAAGCAAAAGCCCTACTTCCTTTGAGGAAGAAATGGTTTTCGGATAAGGAAAGTTTGAAAATTTATTGTATGGCAACCTGAGGAAAAAGGTGGTAATGTGAATGAACGTGAGTTTATAAAGACAAAAAGATGAGGTTTTCACTTCTACTCATAGCCCATTCTTCCATGATTCCATATTCTATTAATTATATCCCACCTTTTCTTTACATCAGGTATTCTCTTAGTGAAATTTTCCCTTCAGTTTAAAAATATATCCAATTAACATCACACAACCAAACAAATCACAAAAATAACTGGCAAAAGAAATCTAAACCCCACAACAAAACAATATATTTTGACTATAACCCTCAGCCAGCTTTTATCCAATCTCTTTTCCATTGGTGGCCAAAATTCTGTACAAAATAATATAAATCTGAACTTTTACATCCTGCCTCATCCCTTTACCTTAAAGCCTACTGCAATTTATCTTGCAGTCATGAGGATTATGCAGAAACCACATGTGGACATCACAAATGAACTTGCTGTTTACCTAAACTTCATCCTTTAAGCTATTTTACACTTTGGTGTATACACTCTATAAAATTGTGATAGCTTCAGCTTTAGGTTGTGAATGCTCAGTATTTATGAAAAAATTAATTATCCCATGTAACTTAGCAACACCCCTTAAATTAGGTCCATAGTTTGTTGCTCATTGGTTTACAAATCATCAAGGACACAAGTCATGTTCAGACTTTACATTTATTAGGGGCTTCATCAGCTCACTCTGTGTATTTGTGTGTGTGTATGTGTGTGTGTGTGTGTGTGTGTAAGAGAACGGATATGTGGTTGAGAGAAATAAAAGGAGAGTTCTTCAGGTCTTCTTACCAAGCATTTTCACCCCCAATGCTCATCACAAAAGTGGATGTCTCACCACCAAAATGCTCTTGACTCACTAAACAAAATGACACAGACATACAGACTCACTCTAAATCTTTCCTACACGTATTAATGATAAAACGAAGCCTCATTCATCCCATTACCCAAGCCAGAAATCAAGAAATGGCTCCTGACAGATGTGTATCTTTCACTTCCCACAAGGCCTGTCCAGCCGACTGTCCTCTTCTACACACTGCCATCACTGGCTCAGGACCATGTGACTGTGAACGTTTGCTACAGCCTTGTCCCTGCTGAATTCCCTCCACCTGCAACTAGGGAGACCTTGCAGCTGGAGGTACAAATGTTAGAGAATTTCAGTATTTTTAAACATACCTGAACGTGGGCTGGGGATTTGGCTCAGTGCTTCCTCCGCCTGTCCTGCAAGCACAAGGTCCCAACTTCAATCCCTGGTACCAAAAAAACACAACAAACATACCTGAACTCATCTTGTGGTCCAGAATATGGTCTCTTGGTGAGTATTCCCCGTGCTTCTATAAAGGATGTGTGCTCTGTGTCAGACATGTCCAGCTGATCATGTTATGTGGCTGAGAGTTCGCTTTCCTAAGTGATTTTTTTCTGTGTGTTCATTCTATCAATTACTAAGCAGTATACCTAAACCTCTGGCAGCGGTAACAAGTCTAGGTGCCTCTTTCAGTTGTATCAGCTTTCGACTGATGTATTTTGAAGCTCCTTCATTAGGCCCATACTCACTAAAGATTAATTTGGAAGTTATTCTGTTAGTAAGGATTTTATCCCTCATGATTTGTTTATGATACTAATAAGATGAGGGCTACAGGGGCAGGAATTATGTTTTATCTCTGCATCCTTTCACCTACTGCAAGATCTGTTTCATACTTCAAACATAACACATGACTGGGGAGGAAATAAAAGAATGCTCCTCCTCCCTAAGATCTGACCCTTTGTTTTCTAGCTGGTGCTTTTAACAGAGGAAGGGCAAGTCTCCACTTTTTGAATGAATGATTCTCCTCTCCAACAAGTGCACACCTAAATGGGAAAGCAGGATTTTGAACAGATACTAGATATCCAGTACATATACATGTTTTTCATCTCCGGGGGGGCCCACACAGGAAAGTGGATCCTCTTACACAAGGAAGTGGAGTGAGGATGTGTGTGTGGACTCTGAAACCCAGCCCTGCTCTGTAATTTATTAGGCATGTCCTAGGAAAGTCAGCAGACTTGTCTGTGCCTTTGCTCATCCATCATGAAAGTGTCCTTCATGAGAATATCCATCTCCAGGGGCAGAAGTGAGAACTGCTTGAATTAATAATTGTAACAGTTTGGTTTTAAGTATTTTGCCTAGCTGTTATTACCAAATTACATCAAAACGGTTGCACAATTACTTGAATACACTTGTACATGCTTTCCCATGGCCTGAGTGAGCTCTCTATGTGTCAGACAGATTGCTGTGACTCTAGATGTGGAATGTCTTTCTGCCCTCCTGAGGCCTCACAGGAGCCGCTTCTCTTCTGAGATCAGATACCCAGTTCTAGGCATGTCTCTGCTTGTCTTGCAGGCAGTGGACTTTACCCACTGTGCCCAGGCTTTGTGTGTTTAACTCCTACAAGAGTCTTTTGATTCTTTTGTGCTGTTCACCTCTCCCACTGTACTGACTGTGTGAAGTCAGTGCTGATAAAGCATCACGAAACAGATGACAGAAATTCTAGGAGGGCAAGTCAGTATTGATGGGAATGACCAGGGTGACTGGCCTGTAGATGACCAAAGATTGATCAAAGTTACTCAACCTGAAACAATGGCGCTGAGAGGCATATGCACCGAGAGATAGAAGGAGAAGGAAGAAAAGACATGTTGTGTGTGTGCCAATTTCTTACCAGGAGTGTAATCAGTGTGCACGTCAAACACATACCAGTAACAAGAAACTATTAGCTAGAAAATTTATAAAAGAATTTAAAATCTATGGCAAATAGAGGGTATAATTGAAGGATTTTCTCTCAAGTGACTGCTCGATCTCAAAGCTGTACCATACAAGGTGGCTGAATGACTCTACTGGCTGCCATTGGCTGCCTTGAGAACACTGTCTATGTTCAATCCCCAAAGCTTTTTTGTGTGGTGTAAACCCTGAATACAATTCCATAAAATTTATTCAGTAGCCACTAAATATGTCCACTGCTGAAAAAAACAGTCAATGATATCTAACTAAAAATCAAATATCTAAAATAAAAGCATATCCAAGGATTTTGAAATTAAACCAACCTAGACACAGAACTCTTTAAAAATATTTATCTGGATTTTTATAATAATGAAAGGTCTTTTTAAATTTATGATAAATTTTGAAATCATATTATTTAACTCTGTGCATTTTCCCCAGGGTGTTCTTTTTTGGCCTTCAAGCAGAAACCTTGATGATAGTTTCTACTTTTAAACTCTTCAGGAAAAAAATGTAAAACCCCAGTTTTAGATATTTTAGATATTTAGATTTAGATGATATTTCACCTTCTCTTTAGGGAATTTTAATCATGAAGCCTGGTTCTTGAAATTCATAGAACTCAGGTTTTGGCCGTTCACTCACTTATAATATGCAAGAATGTGATCAAGTGTTGTTCTAAACAAAAAGTGTTTATGTTGTGACATTTCACAAGTTACACACTGCCAATTTACTCTGGTTTAACAAGTTAAATCCATAGGTATTTTACTGTATGGAATTTTTAAGGAAAGAAATGTCTAGGCCCAAGTTTTTCCAGCTTTCCTTCATGTCACTCTATTTCTCCATAATGTCTGAAAAATAACAGAATATATTCTCCATACAACGTATCCAGTGGTTATAAGAATAAAACTACAATGTTTTAGGATGTGCTCAAGAGAAACAGGGTAAGTGCAATTAAAATATTTATTTTACTTATTTGTGTTACAGCCTTTACATGGCATGTATAAGGCCTAAGGTTTTATATATAT